GATAAAGAGAACTTCGATTATGCAGCCAGACTATTGCCATACATGCTGGTACGTTAGTGCGTTCCCACAGCACTAAGATACGAGAACGCTTTAATCTACCAATGTCTCACAAACCGGCTATTGATACTTAGATTAAGACCGTGAAAACGTCGTGCAGGAAATGGCCCGTGATGCAGGATTATACAGCCCATTCCGGCACCACGAGCAAGTTCAATAAAGTTGAGGGTCAAGCGGTAAATTCCAGGAGATTTACATAGTAAATCTTTAGATTTACACACACACACACACACACACACACACACACACACACACACACACACACATACATGTTAGAATGATGGTGTAGAAGACTTAAGGATGTTACAATCAGACGAATATAAGAAATTTGGAATTTGAAGAAAGTCCATTGGCCTATGTGACGCAGTTCATGTGTCGCGTGTGTGTGTGTGTGTGTGTGTGTGTGTGTGTGTGTGTGTGTGTGTGTGTGTGTGTGTGTGTGTGTGTGTGTGTGTGTGTGTGTGTGTGTGTAAATCACGAAGAAATTTACACCTGATGAATAATGTGACAGTGTCAGACCACGAAGGAAAGATTACAACAGGAATTTCCTGAAGTTCTTTCGTATTTAATAATACATCTTCAGAAGGATGGATTTACAGTTCAGTGGGTACAAGGTATTTTGTAAGTGACACAATTATTTGTCTCATTTACAAAATACGTCACTGTCACAAAATATGAATTTTTTCCTCCTCTATATATCTAAGAGCTCTTCGGGTTGTTAGTTCAGAATTCTTGGATGAAGAGTTTAAGAATATTAATTCTATTGGTCTCAGGCTTTGTTATCCAGTGAGGTTTTTGGAAGTTTGCCGTAGCAAAGCACGTCGTACATATTATAATAATATATGCAGTGAGAAAATTAGCCCCAAAAATGTTTTTTACCATATTTTTCTGGGTTCGAAAAATATTGCCAAGGCCATGAAACTTTCTGATATACATGTATTGTTTAATTACGAACTGTCATTAATATACATGTATTTATTGTCATGTGTATATGAGTCTGCTTTAATACACATTACAAAATCATGTCATTTGAACATTAGCAGTAGTTTGTATATTTTAGATCCATTTTTGATTGATCAGTTAAAGGGCGATTTGAGTAGGATCATTGATACAAATTTATCTCATTAATAAATTATTAATCTCCCATTATCTCATTAAAGACACTGTACCTCACCTCACCTCCTTCCTGCCTATATATTCATCCTTCTGAAGACGTATTATTATATTTTACGGGCTATTCATGCCCGTGCCACCTCTTGGGTGGCTTAATCTTCATCAATCAATCAATCGACGTATTATTCCTCCACAGATCTCCAGTATCATCTCTTGATACTGATAATGACTCAACAGGGCCATTATCAACTTTAATTTTTATCAATCAATCGACGTATTATTAAATATGAAAGTCCTTAAGGAAATTCCTGTCTTAATCTTTCTTCGTGGTCTGACACTGTCACATTGTTCATCACGTGGACATATGAACACGCCAAGGGGCCATGGAGCCTCTGGCTGTCTGGGTTCGAATCCTTCAAGGGGTGAGGAGTTTTGGGAGCATTACAGACTGTCAAAAGAGAGAGATACGATTTGCCGAGAATCAAAATAAATCACAGAGACGTGAAATGGTTGTGCTCGTGAATACTTATGATAAATTGTTGTGTTTCTGCGTCCGAGCTCTCTCTCTCTCTGTCTGTCTGTTTATCTGTCTCTGTCTGTCTGTCTGTTTATCTGTCTCTGTCTGTCTGTCTGTCTCTGTCTCTCTCTCTCTCTCTCTCTCTCTGTCTCTCTCTCTCTCTCTCTCTCTCTCTCTCTCTCTCTCTCTCTCTCTCTCTCTCTCTCTCTCTCTCTCCAACAAAGGGGCATCTGCCCTCTTTATCTGACTACCCACCCCCCCTCTTCTAGTGTCAATAGTCATCCAGTGAAGTTGTAGTGCTTATAATCTCCCCTTGATTCTGCGGGTGAGCCGAGAGGGAAGCGTCGTGAATGGGGCGGTATAAGGGGTGAATGGGGAGGAACAAGGCGTGAATGGGGGAACAAGGGCAGAATGGGAAGAAACAAGAGATGAATGAGTAGAAACAAGGGGGTGATCGTGCTCGAGGGGTAACAATGGATGAATGGGGAAGAACAAGGAATGAATGGGGAGGAACAAGATATAAATGGGGGAGGAAGAAGGGAATAATGGGGAGAAAGAAGGCATGAGTGGGGAGGCACACGAGGAACTACTCATGTATGTGTACTCATCTACACACATTCATGCAGGGCCGAGCTCTTAAGCCCTCCCTGATTCCCCCCCCTCCCCACCTCATCACTGGCTCAGTATAATAACTCATATTCACCTTTTCCCCTTATTCACATTCTGGCCTCGACGGCTTACTCATCCACTATCTACCATTTATTTACGACTCTTAAACTGCTGAAGTTAATGGTGACACTTCAATGGCGCAATATAGTGTCTCGAGATGCCATTTACGTTCCCTCGTTCCACCTTCTTCAACTCTACATCTTTATCCACTTAGTCAATTCCTCCCCCCCCCCCTTAGAATCTTGTAGGGCGTTATCATGTCTCTTTTATTCCCTCTTTCGTACAGTGCAGCGAGGTCCAGGTCCCCCTCATTCTGTCTTCTTGGTTCAGAAACGAGTCTTGTTGCATATATTTGGACCTTTTCTAGGATTTTTGAATACCAGCAATATCCTCACTTTAATAAGACTATCAAAATCCTCAGATTAGGCAAAATTGTAACTAATTTTGTTAATAATAATAATAAGGATTTTTTCCCCAGTGTGTGGTAAGGTATGGGTTCCATGGCGGGGTGGTGACCTCAAGAACGGATCTCGCATACTGGGGATAAAATACTCGAGAGGTTGGAAGGCAGGAAAGGGGAGATATAGACAGATACTGTCTCTCTGTCTGTCTGTCTCTGTCTCTCTCTGGGTGAGGTGATGGGGGAGAGGGGGTAGGCGAGAGGGGGATGGGGGAGTTAAGGACGATGATGAGATAATGGTGAGGGTGGGTGACAAGAGAGAGGGGGGGAGGGGAGGGGACGGAGCCGGTACACCCACAACACAATAAATGGGGTATTAACTACCTGGCTTGATCAACCAGGCTGTGACTCATACGTCAGGCTGCGAGCAGCCGCGTCTAACAGCCTGGTTGATCAGTCCGGCAACCAGGAGGCCTGGTCGACGACCGGGCCGCGGGGACACTAAGCCCCGGAAGCACCTCAAGGTAACCTCAAGGTAAGCCTTAGCCCACCTCCCGTACCCACCACCACCAACACCTGACCTCACCCCACCCAAGAACAGAGGGGTTATCTTGAGTTATCTTGAGATGATTTCGGGGCTTTTAGTGTCCCCGCGGCCCGGTTCTTGACCAGGCCTCCTTTTTTGTTACACACCCCAAGGAAGCAGCCCGTAACAGCTGTCTAACACCCAGGTACCTATTGACTGCTAGGTGAACAGCCTAAAAGGTCTTTATCAAATGAAACATAGATTGATGAAGATTAAGCCACCCAAGAGGTGGCACGGGCATGAATAGCCCGTAACAAAAATGAAACATAGAGGTGTGAGTACTTATAAAGGCAGAATAATGAGGTTGGGGGAGGAAAGGTGAGGTCAACTGAGGTGGGTAGCATAAGAACATGAGAATAAAGCAAGTTGTTTGCCCATATGTGGCAGTTCCTATTGGCCCACACGTGGCAGTTCCTATTGGCCCATACGAGGCAACTGCCCTGTCTATACGAGGCAGCTCCTATTCATATCCATCCAAAGTTATTCAGATAAAAGAACATAAAGTATAAAGGAAACTAGTTTTCCAGTCAAGTTAATACACAAACACTCGTCTATCGATACCATACAATGTTTATGTTTGGAAGGAAAGTCTTCGATGTAGGATATTATCAAATGCTTTCTGAAAAAAAAATCTATCTTTATATTATGCCTGGCTTTTGTCGTATACATTAAAAATGTCAGCATTTAAATTCATAATATTTGTTCAAACACGACCGATTTCTGTGAAAACTTTGCCGGGAATAACGAGAGAAACAAACACAGCTGTTCTAGTCATGCGCATAATCAGGTAATACGACTAAACAAACACTGGGAGAGTCATATCTTGAAGAACATCTACCCATAGGCAGGTGTGTATACCTCTCTAGGTCCGGTGTGTAGCCATGTCTGCCTGAGACCGGGTGTGTAGGTCTGTCTGCCTAAGACCTGGTGTGTAGGTCTGTCTGCCTAAGACCTGGTGTGTAGGTCTGTCTGGGCCAGGTGTGTAGGCCTACCTGCTTATGTCTGGAGAGGTTCTAGACGACAATGCGTCACTCCTAGAGAGGAGGGGGGGGGCCGTCACCACCACAGGATCATTATCACTGGATAATTAACCGCCTGACTCAACGACCGACTCACGCCTTGATGGGCTGGCCTCGTGAGTCATTTCCCTCCCACGTGTAACATCCTTCCAGCCCATCAGGACGGCCCCCAGGTGCTGCTGCTGATCTCTGGCGCCTGCCGAATCTATTGAATTACCCAGTTAAACAGGGGCAGAGCCTCCCCTGGACTGAATGTTGTGTTTCTCATGCCTGAGCCCTTGCAACCGCTACTGTTTGTGTGTGACGTCACTACTGCAAACGTCTCAATACGCGCGCTCAGCTGACGATGCTATGAGCGAAATAATAAACACATTCCTTTGTACCTGACGTGAAAACGTGATTCATTCCGGGAAACCAAGTCCCTGTCAGCTTGACATCCAAAGGTATGATTTTATTGGAGGCTAGAGGAAGCGAGCGAAACTCAGAGAGACTCTGGGCGGTGGTGTGTGTGCGAGCCAGGAGAGCTGGTTGGGCCGCTACCACTACGCTAGTTCCTGGGCTGTGAGTGAGTCTGAGGGTGGTGGAGGGAGGGGTCGGGGGCGGGGTGTGAGTGGGTCGGCTGGCGAGGCTACATACACCGTCGTCCTAGTGCATTACCACACTCCACCCCGGACACACTGGCTGGAGGCGGTGTGCGGCCGGCGCCGGACTATATTCCCTTCCTGTACGTGTATTACCTCTAATGAGGTGCACCAGTGTAAACACAGCCTAGCGCGCCCCCGCCAGCCTCAAGTGAAGAGCTGTAAACACGTTTCCGTTGAGTGACGACTAAAGGGGGAGAGAAATTAACGAGTTAGGACGCTAGGTGCGCCCTCGACCACATGTGCTGGCGCGAAGGATATTATGAGTGACGTATAGGAACGATAAAGGACATTTTTAAGCCAATGTAACGTTGACTGGCCAGATCTGAGAGCTGCGGGTACCAATTAGCCTCCAGTCAGACCGGCCCCACTCACTGCCAGTTTAGGTACTCATCGTTTGCCCCTCACACCAAATGCAGTTTGAATTCTACCAGTGATCTCACGAGCATTAAGCAATTGGTTAAGTACGATCTCTGAACTTTCTCACGGAGGGTTGCTATTTGTGTCTGCGAGAGTTGGACGATCTCAAATTCCCGAGCATTTTCAAATATGGCAAACTGAATCAAAGGGGAAGAGCGTCTGCATAGGTAGAAAACGCTTCGCTCCAGGATCTTGGTGACACAGACCAGCCACAACACTCCCGCCCGGGCACAACACCCCCTTTTATGCCTCGCAGCGCCACTGCACTTGTTGGGTGCCACTTCTCATTCACAGAAGCTTAAGGTCTGGTGAGGAGTGTCTTCCGCTGCCCACCACCCCCAGCAAGTGAGGTGCATATCCCCCCCGGCAAGGACACCCCTCCACTGCCAGCTAGGAGGGTCTTCTTGCTGCAGCTGGCTGCGGACCGCTTCAACAGACTCCCTCAGTTGCTGGGCGTCTGACTCACCACCCGCAGACCCTCCTGTTCTTTCACACAAGACTTGTACTCTTCTCTGGGCTTCCCCTCTTTGACCCGCCACAAGCAAGCATTTCCCCTCATTTCCCCGAAGAGCTGCCTCATCTCTCGCCATCACAGACAAGACCGTTTACTCTGAACCAGAAGACGACGTGCACCCTGTGGCCACCGCCGTCTTCAATACTTCGCGGCCCCCATCTCCAAGGAATTCGCTCGAGGTTCGACACCAGGAACAAAGAAGGTGAGTGTTGAGATATAAGTATCCACTGAATGTCATATCAAAACGCCCAAGGTCTCCAGGAATAGCCCGAGGCCGCAATAGTTCTTGGATACGCGTCTGCCACCGGGGCCAAGAATAGTCTATGGCTAAAATGATGTTTGAACGGAAAACATTCTAACTACCTGGTCTGGGAGCCAAATCCCAGGACAGTGGACCAGGAAGTAACACCTGTCTCGCCTGTTGCACCTTCCCTATACGAGAAAGCCCAAGGTGAGGTAATTATCAGGAGAATGCGCTACGCCATTACGGCTATATAGCTCTCGGAAGGGATGAGAATAAAGATTTAAGGAATGGTGCTTAACCACTTAGACGGTCGGGGATTAAACCCTGACCTGCAAGAAGCGAGACGGTCGCTCTACCCTCAAGTCTAAAGTGGTTTGGGAAAAAAGGCCCCAAGACATCATCACCATCATTACAGTTTCAAGTGTAGGGGGTTATCTTGAGATGATTTCGGGGCTTTAGTGTCCCCGCGGCCCGGTCGGGGGGGGGGGGGGGGAATACTGTGGAGTCCTGGACCAAGTGTAGGAAGGACAGCTTAGAGTCCTAGAAGTGTAGAGGGAATCCCTATAGAGTCGTGGACCAGGTGTAGGAAGGACAGCTTAGAGTCCTAGAAGTGTAGAGGGAATCCCTATAGAGTCGTGGACCAGGTGTAGGAAGGACAGCTTAGAGTCCTAGAAGTGTAGAGGGAATCCCTATAGAGTCGTGGACCAGGTGTAGGAAGGACAGCTTAGAGTCCTAGAAGTGTAGAGGGAATCCCTATAGAGTCGTGGACCAGGTGTAGGAAGGACAGCTTAGAGTCCTAGAAGTGTAGAGGGAATCCCTATAGAGTCGTGGACCAGGTGTAGGAAGGACAGCTTAGAGTCCTAGAAGTGTAGAGGGAATCCCTATAGAGTCGTGGACCAGGTGTAGGAAGGACAGCTTAGAGTCCTAGAAGTGTAGAGGGAATCCCTATAGAGTCGTGGACCAGGTGTAGGAAGGACAGCTTAGAGTCCTAGAAGTGTAGAGGGAATCCCTATAGAGTCGTGGACCAGGTGTAGTGAGAATAATACCTCAGAGTCCGTGACCAACTATTACACGCATTATTCAAGGCTGATCTTGGCTTAGTCATTTCAGTCTCATGCATGATGCAACTCTAAGGTTAGAATTACAGTCAGTCATCTGTCCAACAATCACCCCATTCCATCTGTCCAACAATCACCCCATTCCATCTGTCCAACAATCACCCCCATTCCATCTGTCCAACAATCTCCCCATTCCATCTGTCCAACAATCACCCCCATTCCATCTGTCCAACAATCACCCCCATTCCATCTGTCCAACAATCACCCCCATTCCATCTGTCCAACAGTCACCCCCATTCCATCTGTCCAACAGTCACCCCCATTCCATCTGTCCAACAATCTCCCCATTCCATCTGTCCAACAACCACGAACAGTCCAGTCAGCACTACAGCCACAACAGTCCAGTTACTCACTTGTACTTACTTATCTCAACAAATAAACAAACAAACAAGTCAAGAGGTTTAATTCGATTAAAAAAAATCCACAAAACAGAGTGACTAAATTTTAAATTTAAAAATTCAGTTGCCCCCCAAAAATATAAAAAATCCTCAGGAATAATTGTGGGGGAGGTGGGAACATTTGACACGCTGCCGGCTTCCTGTCCCTGTCGAGACCACTAAGAGATAACGACCCTCGGGGTTAAATTGAGGTATATTATCTGACCTAACGCTAACGGGGCTTCAATGAAACAACGTTAGGCTTCATACAACCGTTAACCCAAGACACCCTCCCAGCGTAGTATATACACCTAGGACACACCCCAAGACACCCTCCCAGGGCACTATACACCCAGGACACACCCCAAGACACCCTCCCAGCGTAGTATATACACCTAGGACACACCCCAAGACACCCTCCCAGGGCACTATACACCCAGGACACACCCCAAGACACCCTCCCAGGGCACTATACACCCAGGACACACCCCAAGACACCCTCCCAGCGTACTATACACCCAGGACACACCCCAAGACACCCTCCCAGGGCACTATACACCCAGGACACCCCAAGACACCCTCCCAGGGCACTATACACCCAGGACACACCCCAAGACACCCTCCCAGCGTACTATACACCCAGGACACACCCCAAGACACCCTCCCAGCGTACTATACACCCAGGACACACCCCAAGACACCCTCCCAGGGCACTATACACCCAGGACACACCCCAAGACACCCTCCCAGGGCACTATACACCCAGGACACACCCCAAGACACCCTCCCAGGGCACTATACACCCAGGACACACCCCAAGACACCCTCCCAGGGTACTATACACCCAGGACACACCCCAAGACACCCTCCCAGGGCACTATACACCCAGGACACACCCCAAGACACCCTCCCAGGGTACTATACACCCAGGACACACTCCAAGACACCCTCCCAGGGTACTATACACCCAGGACACACCCCAAGACACCCTCCCAGGGTACTATACACCCAGGACACATCCCAAGACACCCTCCCAGGGTACTATACACCCAGGACACACCCCAAGACACCCTCCCAGGGTACTATACACCCAGGACACACCCCAAGACACCCTCCCAGGGTACTATACACCCAGGACACACCCCAAGACACCCTCCCAGGGTACTATACACCCAGGACACACCCCAAGACACCCTCCCAGGGTACTATACACCCAGGACACACCCCAAGACACCCTCCCAGGGTACTATACACCCAGGACACATCCCAAGACACCCTCCCAGCGTACTATACACCCAGGACACACCCCAAGACACCCTCCCAGGGTACTATACACCCAGGACACACTCCAAGACACCCTCCCAGGGTGCTATACACCCAGGACACACCCCAAGACACCCTCCCAGGGTACTATACACCCAGGACACACTCCAAGACACCCTCCCAGGGTACTATACACCCAGGACACACCCCAAGACACCCTCCCAGCGTACTATACACCCAGGACACACCCCAAGACACCCTCCCAGCGTACTATACACCCAGGACACCCTCCCAGGGCACTATACACCCAGGACTTGCCATCAACTCACGCATGGGGCTCCAACGGAGGTCACGGCCCCATAATACCCGATGGGGGGAGGGGTTGAAATGGAATGGTAAGGTAATTATTTGATGAAAGCGCTAAGCCAGTATGACAATACAGTATAAGGAGAGGATATGAGGACAAGGATTTGGAATAGCGCGGAGGGAAGGAATTTTGAAAGACATGGAAAAAAAAGGAAGCATGACATTACAGAGTGTATATATATATTAGGGAATAAACTGACTAGAAGCGTTGTTAAAGTAAATACCCTGATAGGCTTTAAAAATAGGATAGACGCAGATGCAAGACAGAAACCAATTGAGTGCATAAATGGGACATGTCTGACAGGAGTGGGCGAGCCATCTGAGGTATTTCTTTGTTATGATTTTATGCAGTGGCTTTAATATTTTATTTTAAAGCTATTTTATATATAGCTTTAATATTACATTTCACTGATCCAGGGTCAGTTACTCTTTGCTGTTTACATTCCTGAAGGTGTTTCTTGAGAGTGTAGCATTAGAGGCTGTAACAGTATGGCAGACAATCTCATTGGGAAGGCCAGGGTTTATCTCCAAGCGTTTCCTTTGCTACTTGTTCTGCTGTATTCTGCTGCCTCACTGTTTGTTATTCCTATCAATCTCTGTACCAAACAAAAGTTCATGTTCAATATTTCTAACTTTTCTGAATAACCACTATACTATTACAATTACATTACAAAGCATATAGTTAAAGTGTTTAATGGCTGTTATTGTCCACTTTGCGTCCACGAACATCACATAGATCTGTATACATCATGTTAATATAGCTTTGAATGCGATAAGAATTGCCTTCAATTCTGTTGTGAATGTACCAGCTGCATCATGCAACCTTCACAGTCATACGTTAGGAGACGGTTGCGAAGCCTGTTCCAGCTGGGGACTTGAAAGCTATCTGTGTGCACACATGTACTGGCCCTGCTTCTTGTTGTGGATCTTTAAAGAAGGAGAAGGGGGTGATGTTTGAAGAGAGGGAAGGAGAGAAGGGGAAAGACAGGTGGAGAGGGCGTGAGAGGGGGATATGGGAAGAGAGGGGTGGATAGGGAATGAGATTTGGGGGTGGGGAAGTGGGAGAAATACCCGGCCGCAGCCGAAAACCCCCTCCTAGTATGTATATATTTTGAGATTATAGGGAAATTTCACCGAATAACATGAAGCTTCAATGTGTAAACTGAAGGAGAGAGTCTATAGTGAGCTCAGTGATTGTATTTACAATAGTGCAACCCGTCCTCAGGCCAAGTCCATTCTATCCAGCGGTCGACCCCAAAGATGCATTCATCATCTAAACACAGGTTAAGTGTTTAGGTTATGTTGCCGATTATTTGTAGTACGTGGGTAAAGCATTTACAGAGTTGTAGTTCGAACAAAAGTCGTCAGCGAAGCACTTGTTCCGGAAATGTTCGGACGTCATCAGTTGTGAGTCGTGTGTAAACCGCTTTTCGTTCATAAACAGTGGGGGGTTTGGCGGGTGCACGGAATGGACTTCGAGGCCTTTGTTTAGAGGACGGGCTGCTGAATGGGTGTACTTAGTGAGAGTGCACCGATGTTCAATCTTTGCTGCATCCTAGTACTAAAACTAGGCTGCGATTGTTTGTGCTGCAGCCTATCAGAGTTAACTCCCTTAATAAACTGCTTATAATAACAGTGCGGTATATAGTATGTATGTGTGTGTAAAGAGGCAGTATCGTCCACCACCGGATGTTTGAACTCTTGCACCACTGGCATTATCTCGTGTGCAGCTTTCCCCCCAAAAAACTATGCATGCTTAGAAAGCAGTGAACGCCTAGCATTAGTATACCAGCCACACGTGGAGAGCAATATATGCCTGCTATTCGTTTACGAT